GACGCGCTTGCTCTACACCCCACACAAATGTTGAGCTTGAATGCTGCAATCTGTTATTTTATCAACGAAGACCCGCTATGTTAAAGAGGAATTCTTTGGAATATATTACAGTTAAGATATTTGGTCAAACTAAGTACTTTATCGAAATGCAATCCTATCTTGAATAGTTTAGCAATTGTTTTTATGTAGGTTTATGGTTCCTAGGTGTAGAAGAGTGTATTTAGATTTTTTTTATTATGCATAAAATAATATTCAAGCTAATTGGATGTTAGTGATTATAATTTACCAAAAAATACATTTGGTCAGTGCATTCGCCCGGGTTGCGAAGGGTGCTGGTTCGAGTCCCGTCTGCTGCCTGGTACGCGTGGAATTTTTTCTAGTTATATTTTATTTAGATTTAAACATCAAGCAGTTACATTACATGCTTTAAAATAAAAATCATAACTATAATTGCTATTTCTTCTTTCAAATGTTTAATACTTGTAAAAGTATTCATTTGACATTGTGGGTTACCTATAATGCAAAGAGATGGCGCTGCCTTGCAGCTTAAGAATGGCTAGAAGAATTTCGACGCGGCCATCAGGGCCGTGGTAGCATAATTGGTCAGTGCATTCGCCGGGATTGCGAAGGGTGCGGGTTCGAGTTCCGTCTGCTGCCTGGTACGCGTGGAATTTTTTCTAGTTATATTTTATTTAGATTTAAACATCAAGCAGTTACAAGCTTAAAAATAAAAATTATAAACAAAATACATGTTATGAACCTAGTGGGGTCTTCATTTCAGAAATATATAGATCACTTCCACAGTTTGTTGTCAAATGATGCAAATTAAGGAACACTATCAATAATATAGGTATACTTTTTGATATACATATATCAAATAAAGGAAATGAAACAAATTATTTGGATTACCATATTTCTACTTGAATAAGACTGATAACGTATAAAATTATATTACTTGTATAAGTCAAAAGGTAGCCTATTAGAAAACAATGGTTTTGTAACCTTAAGAATGTAGGTTCTAGTAACCAGTTTCAAGTAACCAGTTGTTCAATGTTACTCGTATATTCGTTTAATAAACCTCTCTCAAGAATATCGATCAAGTATTACGCTCTCAGAACTAGAACTAAAGCATAGAAATAGTTTAATTTCAACTCACAAAGTCGACTCGTATAGTTATCTTATTTTTACATAAGGGCCCGAAAAGAGACAAATATATGTTGCTGTGAAAAAGTGCGTGCCGCTAAACAAACGTCTAACTGGATACCTTCGTTACCTTTACGATACTGAATCAAAAAGCTATCTAATGTCAAATGCAACATGCCAACACGACACTCATACTTTTTGGTTGGGTAATACTCTATTTGGAAATCTTTTCGTTAATCTATTGTCTATGGGAGTGTATGCTCATACGTCATAGCAATACTTGTTTGTTTTAGTTTTTGTTCTGAGATTACGCTATAGTTGTGTCTAGCTTAGAAGCCACTTTGTGATTATAATGTTATGTAGGTACCATAGATGAAGTTCAAACACTGTACTTTTGTTTAAAGCTTTAATTATATGGTAGCAAATTATGTATTTATATATTTAAAAACATCAGTGTAGCTAAGTATTTGTATCGTGTTATTCTAAAATACAATGTGCTGTTGTCAAGAATTTTACATAGATGTAAGTATGTACATAATTATTTCGAGCCATAAATAGGTAAGTTGTCATGTTTGTTTTTAATTCTATTAACGCATTACATATTTTCGGAAACATTAGCTGGCAAGCTGTCACTATAGTTTACGAAAAAGATGGAGCAAGCGCACGTTGATCCACTAATCGTTTTTAATTTACTTGTGTGTCTTGTATGGTGCATTACAATAAGGAATATATTTTTTTTTTTTTTTATTTATCGCGACCACTAGTGGCTCGAGCAAGCGCACATTATTGAGCCACTAGTCGCGATCACTAGTGGCTCGAGCAAGCGCACTTCTTTGAGCCACTAGTCGCGATCACTAGTGGCTCGAGCAAGCGCACTTCTTTGAGCCACTAGTCGCGATCACTAGTGGCTCGAGCAAGCGCACATTATTGAGCCACTAGTCGCGATCACTAGTGGCTCGAGCAAGCGCACTTCTTTGAGCCACTAGTCGCGATCACTAGTGGCTCGAGCAAGCGCACTTCTTTGAGCCACTAGTCGCGATCACTAGTGGCTCGAGCAAGCGCACTTCTTTGAGCCACTAGTCGCGATCACTAGTGGCTCGAGCAAGCGCACTTCTTTGAGCCACTAGTCGCGATCACTAGTGGCTCGAGCAAGCGCACATTATTGAGCCAGTAATCGCGACCACTAGTGGCTCGAGCAAGCGCACATTATTGAGCCACTAGTCGCGATCACTAGTGGCTCGAGCAAGCGCACTTCTTTGAGCCACTAGTCGCGATCACTAGTGGCTCGAGCAAGCGCACTTCTTTGAGCCACTAGTCGCGATCACTAGTGGCTCGAGCAAGCGCACTTCTTTGAGCCACTAGTCGCGATCACTAGTGGCTCGAGCAAGCGCACATTATTGAGCCAGTAATCGCGACCACTAGTGGCTCGAGCAAGCGCACATTATTAAGCCACTAGTCGCGATCACTAGTGGCTCGAGCAAGCGCACATTATTGAGCCACTAATCGCGACCACTAGTGGCTCGAGCAAGCGCACTTCTTTGAGCCACTAGTCGCGACCACTAGTGGCTCGAGCAAGCGCACATTTATGAGCCACTAGTCGCGACCACTAGTGGTTCAAGCAAGCGCACATTATTGAGCCACTAATCGCGACCACTAGTGGCTCGAGCAAGCGCACTTCTTTGAGCCACTAGTCGCGATCACTAGTGGCTCGAGCAAGCGCACATTATTGAGCCACTAATCGCGATCACTAGTGGCTCGAGCAAGCGCACATTATTGAGCCAGTAATCGCGACCACTAGTGGCTCGAGCAAGCGCACATTATTAAGCCACTAGTCGCGATCACTAGTGGCTCGTGCAAGCGCACTTCTTTGAGCCACTAGTCGCGATCACTAGTGGCTCGAGCAAGCGCACATTTATGAGCCACTAGTCGCGCCCACTAGTGGTTCAAGCAAGCGCACATTATTGAGCCACTAATCGCGACCACTAGTGGCTCGAGCAAGCGCACTTCTTTGAGCCACTAGTCGCGATCACTAGTGGTTCGAGCAAGCGCACATTATTGAGCCACTAGTCGCGATCACTAGTGGCTCGAGCAAGCGCACTTCTTTGAGCCACTAGTCGCGATCACTAGTGGCTCGAGCAAGCGCACTTCTTTGAGCCACTAGTCGCGATCACTAGTGGCTCGAGCAAGCGCACATTATTGAGCCACTAGTCGCGATCACTAGTGGCTCGAGCAAGCGCACATTATTGAGCCACTAATCGCGACCACTAGTGGCTCGAGCAAGCGCACATTATTGAGCCAGTAATCGCGACCACTAGTGGCTCGAGCAAGCGCACATTATTGAGCCACTAAACGCGACCACTAGTGGTTCGAGCAAGCGCGCATTATTGAGCCAGTAATCGCGACCACTAGTGGCTCGAGCAAGCGCACATTATTGAGCCACTAAACGCGACTACTAGTGGCTCGAGCAAGCGCACATTATTGAGCCAGTAATCGCGACCACTAGTGGCTCGATCAAGCGCACATTATTGAGCCAGTAATCGCGACCACTAGTGGCTCGAGCAAGCGCACATTATTGAGCCAGTAATCGCGACCACTAGTGGCTCGAGCAAGCGCACATTATTGAGCAAGTAATCGCGACCACTAGTGGCTCGAGCAAGCGCACATCATTGAGCCAGTAATCGCGACCACTAGTGGCTCGAGCAAGCGCACATTATTGAGCCAGTAATCGCGACCACTAGGGGCTCGAGTAAGCGCATATTGAACCACTAATCGAAGCATAGTAGCGGCCACTCGAACGCTTAGTTTGCGCCGATACTATACAAATTGAATGAAAAACTCGACTGCAGCAGTGTGGACGCGTTTAGTGGCCACCACTAGTGGTTCAATGTGCGCTCTTATCCAAGGGCGGATCCAGCTTTGGCGCCAGGGGGGGTCATATAGCCAGCTTTGGCGCCAGGGGGGTGTCATATAGTCGCGTTATATTAAATATTGTAAGTACTTAAATAAAATCCCCCTGGGTTTGGTCCATCTGTACCCTGCCCAGGGGGGGGGGGGGTCATGACCCCCATGACACCCCCCCCTGGATCCGCCCTTACTCTTATCCTTATTTAATGCCAAGTATGGCGACATGTAGGTTTTGTTCTGGGAAATGAGTTAATACTGGTTTATGAAACTGACTATATTTATAGGATATATCGAACAAAAACATGTCACAGACATAGTAAGTATGTATTAGTTTTTAAGTACCAGAATAAAAAAACGTAAAAAAAAGTATTGGGCAAAGTTAACAGTTAAAGTCGTTAATGTTTTTTTAAAACCATTCCGACTAAAAAGCGATTAAGTTAGTCTTACCTTCATTTTTTGTCAAATGTTACAACAAAATATTGCCTACCCCCTAACAGTTGCATTTGTGCGAAGACGGCGACGTGCCGGACTGGGGGTAGTGCTTTATTTTAAAACTGACAAGTATGAACTACAATAATCCCTTGTCAGACGTTCCAATAAAATATCGCCTTTGCATATACTCACCAGTCATCTTTTGTCAGACGTTATGATAAAGTGTCAACTACCCTCAACAGTTGCAGTTATGCGAAGACAGCGGCTTGCCGGGCACAACGGGTGGGGGTACGGAGGCAGGAGGGGGCAGAGTGTCCAATAACTATAAAACGTTCATTTCTTGTTTTGCCAGCACTTCATTACGCTATTTATATTTGTTATTTTTAAACTTGACAATAGTCTGTAATGTCACTTTACATATAGCAAACACGAATAGCCTAGGCATTGGACGATCCAATAGTGTCGTCTTCGTTCCGTTGTCCAGTCATGTTTTATGATAAAGTATCGTGTACCCTCAACAGTTGCAGTTGTGCGAAGACGGCGGCGTGCCGGGCGGCGCAGGAGTGGTGGGGGTGGGGGTAGGGGTAGGGGTAGGTCAGGAGGGGGCGGAGAGTCCGCTGACGGCGCGCTCGCTGCGTTTGGAGCGGGCTGCGCGCGCGCTGCACGCCGAGAGGGACCGTCTACGCACGCACTACCAGCCGCCTTATGACTCGTAACTATTCATTATGTCCTATTAATTATTAATTTTTTACCACGTACGACAAAACTGTGGAATATGTTGTCGCCAGCAGTGTTTCTGCACCAATACGACCCAAGAACCTTCAAAAAAAGAGCGTACTCCTTCCTTGAAGGCCGGCATCGCATTTGTGATACTCCTGGTGTTGCAAGTGTCCATGGGCGACGGTGATCACTTACCATCAGGTGAGCCGTCTGCTCGTATACCCCCTATAACATAAAAAAAAAACAAAATGTCTTATTTTATGCTACTAAGCTTTCTGGAGGATCTGGGATGGCAGGACTGATGCCAATCCCCACGAAAAATAGGCACTATAGTCTGTCCATTCTATTATTATCTTTTTGACAGATCGACGCCCATGAAATTTTGTATTGTTTACGTTAAAATGTTATACAAATAATATTGTACTTCATGAACGGGTACCGCCCACTTAGTGATGTGCCACACATAATGATTACTAAGATTGTGCCACAGATTACAAATAATCGGTAGAAATAAATGAGTACAACCAAATTGTAAGGAAAAAGGTCAAAGATATAGTTTTTTATAAACCTTTTTTTAGATGAAATTATTAATTATAATCAATAAATCTAATTGTACAGAGTATTAGTATTAGAATAAACAAACATATAAAAATTACACTGTTTTTTTGTTGTATATATATACATAATATAGATAAATCACACCCAGACACAAAACAAATACTCGTGCTCATCACACAAATATTTGTACTAGGTAAAATAATAATCTAATGAGATTTTGTAATAATTTATGAAACACCAGTATTTTTGATAATTAAAATAATTTCGATACTTATAATCGATTAGACAATGTTCTAGCATAAAATCGATTATAGCTTTAAATCGAACGAGTTATGTGATAGAGTGTCACTATTTTTACTTCGATCGATCTGACAAAAAGATAATAATAGAATGGACAGACTATAGGTATCGAGTTGCCAGCCGTACTACTAAGACTATGTCTTGTTATGGTTCTTAATTAAATGATCCTCAAAAAAAAAATTGGTCGCCTTACCAAACCTAATAATGTTGAAAAATTGCTTGTTAATTTCCTGTGTAATAGATTATGTAAGATTTAATGAGTGGAAACTTTACTATTCATTATATTATTCTCTCTCTCATTTCACTGTACGTATTTATATGTTTCTATTAATATTGTTGTTTCCCAAATAAAGTAAAATAAAACTAAAATAAATAACAACCTTTAGGTTACCAGTTGTATATTCTTTTGTGATATTTTTTAAGGATCATTTAAATATTTTCCTTTTATTATTATAACAATAACCGACATTTTATATTTTCACTTAACTGTAACTTAATATTGAACACATGTTAAATTACAATGCAAATCCTTAAAATTAACTTCCATTGATTTTCGTTGTGTTTTTTATAAGTATAAATTAAAAATAATTACATTATGGTTCTAACCACTTAACGTTTCGCTCAGCCCATCATTTTAGCAAATAAAGTTTGTTAAAATTATGCTAATTAAACAGTGTATTTTTTAAATTATTTTTTTAAAGGTAAATATCATTACTTTTAAATTTCAACTAAGGCATTAATTAACTGTTAAATGTGTATTCAAATAGGTTGATAATCGCCCAAGATGAAACAATTATGGGACGGATCTCATCTCAAGTTTTTATAATTAAACAAACCATTTAAAGCATTATTAACCAGTAAGATTTTCGGGGGTTTTCCAAAACTACGCTATTCTGTAGAGATGTTCGACTTCGAATGATATTATTAGCTTTCGACTAATTCGTAACTACTAATTTGGCTACTCGAAAGGCAAATTAGTAGGATACTAATGTAATTATTGGAATAACGACTAGTAATTAGTAATACTAATGTCAAATGTCGCTGGGTGCGACGCGCGCCGCCCGACTAGCGACTAGCGTCGAATGATATAAACCGCAGTCGACTCAGTCGAATGATTCGTGGAGTTGAATCAAGGGCGGATCCAGGGGGGGGGGGGTCATGGCGGTCATGCCCCCCCCCCCCCCCCCTGGGCTGGGTACAGATGGACCAAACCCAGGGGGACTTTATTTATGTACTTTCAATATTTAATATACCACGACTATATGACCCCCCCGCCCTGGCGCCAAAACTGGCTATATGACCCCTCCCCCTGGCGCCAAAGCTGGCTATATGACCCCCCCCTGGCGCCAAAGCTGGATCCGCCCTTGAGTCGAATGATTAGTATTATTCGAAGTCGCGCATCGCTACTATTCTGTTTCATATGTTTCTGCTACTGCAGTGCCATTGTCGAATACTTCATAAAACATAGTATAATTATGATATTGAATCTAAACTAGACCAAAGCTCCCGAAACTCTTATAAGACCTCTAGTTCTTACAATACTTTACTAACAAATTTGTCTTCTATTTCACGCCGCAAGGACTTCCATGATGTCGGGCAGCCTGGCGAGGTTCCCCGTTCACAGGTGCTTACCCTCGCGTAGCCTTACAACCAATCTTTCACTGTCAGTACCTGCGCGTAGCCATGCGACCAATCTGTCGCTATCAGTACCCACGTGTAGCCATACGACCAATCTGTCGCTATCAGTACCCACGTGTAGCCATACGACCAATCTGTCGCGTTCAGTACCCGCGCGTAGCCATGCGACCAATCTGTCGCTATCAATACCCGCGCGTAGCCATGCGACCAATCTGTCGCTATCAGAGTTCAATTTGTCCAACGTATGCTGTGACTGTCCGGACACGCTGTTTAATTATATGCCTCACAGACTCTGCATAAAGTCCAAATTATATAGAATATTAGACACGTATCTTTTTCATCATCCTTGTCTCGTGAAGTCCGCGAGTTATATTTGAAAGAACTGCAATAAATAATAAATATTTTTATGTTATTATAGTTTTTATTTGCATTTCTAAGGAGCAAAACAATTCCGGTCTTAATTTTTATTTGAAGTGCAGCATGAAAAAGGTTCTTAACTTTTTTTTTGTATTTTTTTTCTTTAGATGACCGTCCTCTCAATAAATTAAAGCGTTAATATATAATATCATTATATATTAATCAAAGAAATAGTGTGAAATAGTTTTTGCGTTTTCATTTTCAATTTGTTTTTTTTTATCATACTTTGCTTGTTGTATGTAATATGTTCATTGCAAAATTTCTATTATTTTTGTTGTGTACAATTTTTTCCGTGTTTAAAATGTAAAGTTGTGTTTAAATAATTACTTTTTATCACAAAAAATATATATAAAAGTTATAAATAAATTAAATAAAATGGAATTACTAAGGATTGTAATATTCATTTGGTGTGACTGTGACCCTCCAAAATGGAGTACGGTACGTTTGATTTTATTATTGTGTGACCCCATTCCATTAGATGTACATACAACAGTATATTAAACTACCATAAACGTGAAAAATTCTGCAACCGATTTTGAACCCTTACCGAGCCGCCAAAAGTTGAAATTTGTTTGGAGAATTTACGTTTTGAGTAGTTGCTACGCCCGCGGTTGAAGCACGTCCTTAGTAATTCCATAGTGCTATGAAGCACTTTTTCAAGCTTGCAATATTTCGACCCTATGAACCAACAGCTAATTGTCCTTTTTGATGGTATTATTAAATTTTACCTGTAACACGTCCGCCAGAAACGTGCTTTAACAGTATCTTTGTGCATTAAAATAGTAATTCTACAGCTATAATTTTACTGCGTGTGTTTATTAACAACCGCTTCACCTTTTACTTGATAGTTAAATCCAAGTTCCAAACAACCCTACATTCATAAACTATGATTTGTCACATTAATTTGTTTGGAAATGTGTTTTTAAAATGTATCTATACTCTATAATCGGAACACACTTAGAGAATTACGTAAACTTCAATAGAGTTGACAGGAGAAGTGATTTCATGTTCTTTCCGCTAGAGAAACAATATAACTTAATTTTTAATCTTATGAAACAGCCCAATGAACCTCGATATTATTATATTATACTCAGGGATTATATAGAATTCTAATGGTGAAAACGGTCTAGTATTTTTCAAGATAATCGTTATAAATATACAAACCATTCATCTTCATAAATGTCTAATTAAAAAATGAAGAAAACAGCCATTTGAATTGTAGTCTTATCTCCGAGCAGCTCTAACTAAAGTCCCTCTGCGCGGCGGTCTAAGTTGGACTATGGGGGGCTCCGAATCGAGGCGAGAGCGGCGCGTCACCGGGACTGCCGAAATAAATCTTAACGCGATAAAATATAGCCTCTGTTACTAAGAGATAGTAGATAGAGGGTAATTTTATATTTCATTCCTTATAACCTTCCTTATATTTATTTAAACATCAACATCTTATATATAAAATTCTCTGTCATAATGTTAGTTAAAATACTCCTCCGAAATGGCTTGACAGATTTTTATGAAATTCTATATGCATATTCAGTAGTTCTGAGAATCGGCTACTATCTATTTTTCATACCCCTAAGTGATAAGGGTTGTTCCTAACACTTTTTCTTATTTTTGGATATTTTTTTTATGTTTTTTTTTGTACATTTAAAAATATATACCACCTTGAATTTTCATCCTTCTACCATCGATTCCTAATTTTATGGACCCGCGCGTAGCCATACGAAGTTCCCTGTGTCAGCTAGTATAACATTAGAGACGAGAGAAACAGCCATTTGAACTGTAGTGTTACCTCCCAGCAGCTCAAGCCAAGAGTCCCTAGGCGGTCTAGGCTCGACTCCTGGTGGGTCAGGGTGTGGGTCCGGGTCTGGCGCGGCGTGGGGCGGGGCGTCGCCGGGGCTGCCTCGCGGCGTCACGGCCGCAGCCTCCGCCGTCTCCATTGCCTCCATGCACCAGCAGAAGAAAAGGGGCATCAAGAGCTCGCTGGGAAGGTTCTTCAGCAAGAAAGAGAAGGCGGGGATGCCGGTGGGTATTTTAATCTTTATTTCAAAGATTTGAGGATATGCAGCCGTCAATAAAACTGTAGTGATAGCTATCTAAACGTTCTATTGTGATATGTTACCAAATTGACGTATCTCTTTAAGCTTGTAAGGCCCGTATTATGGAAAGACTAGCAAACCAGTGAACCAAATGTTCACCAAAACCTGATTTAAAAAAAATAAAAAATAAAATGTATTTAATTAATTGAGAACTTCGGAGATTTTGTGTGGTTTCGTTTGAAATTCGTGATTTCACGAAAACCGGAAGTGCTACGTTACTCAAATCCGGTTTGTAGTCTTATCAGACTATTCTTAACTTATAACTTAAATATTCTCTTTATCTATCTCTTACGGTTTGGCCGCTGAAACAGCACCACAGACGGACGGACGGACTTGTCTAATAGATAAGAGATTCTCAGTGATTGATCTAGTCTTCAGCATAGTTAGAATGTTGCTATATATAGCACATAGCGACATCCCTTTCTAACTGTGTGTCTAGTAAAGATCAACACTTAGCTGTCATTCTGTAATACGGACCTAAGAGTTTTGATCTGAGTATCATCATCATCATCAGCCTATTAATGTCCCCGCTGCTGGGGCACAGGCCTTCCATATGGATGGAATAGGGAGATTGGGCCATGACCCACCACGCAGGCCCAGTGCGTTTTGGTGGGTGCTAACGACTGCAGATGCAGCCGGGACCAACGGCTTAACGTGCCTTCCGAAGCACGGAGGAGCTCGAGATACTAATTTTTGGTCACCCATCCAATGATTAACCACCGCGAAAGTTGCTTAAGTTCAACAATCGCAGCCGAACGCGCTAACCACTTGCGCGTGAGTATATTCTGAGTATATTGTGTATAAAATCCTAAGTAGGAGCACAGATTACGGAGTGTGATTCCGTATTCTTTCGCACTTTATGCCAGCCCGTCATGTGGCTAATCGTATTTGCTATTTGTTGGATTGGTAGCAGTGTATCCATATCACGCTGACTACGGGGAGTGAGGGGGAGGGACTGCTGTCGAGTTTGCGGGTGGTGGATGCGATTGACCGCGTAAAGTACCGGCATTACAGGCCAGAATACCAGCGCTGCTGTGACACTTTTTGTGGCGTATTGCGGCAGCATTATGCTGACGCTATAAAGAAGGCTGTAATATTTATTGACGTTTCGCAGCTTTTTCAGGTCTGCATCGTCAGAATAAACGAGAATAAACGTTCGTGCATTAACCCGTTAAAACTAGTTTTATTTTAATGAGTGATGTGCGTGAAAACCTAAGAAACAAATCTGGTTTTATTTCTTTACTCTTTTCATTATTTTAATTTGTATGTTGTTTTGTGATGTAATGTGGTCAAAAAAATGTTTCTGTCTCTCTCTAAGTGGCCATAAATTCTGTTAGTGAATATTGAGACAATAAGGAATAAGTTTTTCCATCCCTGATTTAGGTGATTATTTTTGTGGATGGCGGGCGAGAGTTGTCCTTCCCCTAAAGATCCATTGCAATGGATCATGTATCCTGGTGCACTTTTTCCTTCATCTAACACCATTATACAATCAATTCCAAATTATTGATTTTAAAACATTTGCAGGTGATTTTCGATCCTCAAAATTCATTGCAATGAATCCAAGTGATCGTGGGGACTTCTGGCTAAGCCTGACAAGGATCTTTTTGAATCTAGCGAAATTGTTGAACTAACAGCGCTGTCTTTGTAAACGTTATATTTTTAATGTCATTCACGGTCATTTGTAACGAGATTCTACGTTCTAGGTCATGAACGTAAACAGTGGCGCCCTCTCTTCAGCCGTCACCCACATTCATAAAGATCCTTGTCGCACCGTAGTAGTTATAACATTATAATGTATTTACGCAGATGCAAGGTGGTTCTGGTGCGGGCGGAGCCCGGTCCGCATCATCCCTGGGGCTGGTGGGGCTCGCTGACGACGCGCCGCCCGATCCCCCGCCCCTGCTGCAGCCCCAGGAGATGGCCAGAGCCAAGACTAAGTCAGTATACCACTCACATCACACACTAGGCCTCAGGCATCATCCCTGGGGCTGGTGGGGCTCGCTGACGACGCGCCGCCCGATCCCCCGCCCCTGCTGCAGCCCCAGGAGATGGCCAGAGCCAAGACTAAGTCAGTATACCACTCACATCACACACTAGGCCTCAGGCATCATCCCTGGGGCTGGTGGGGCTCGCTGACGACGCGCCGCCCGATCCCCCGCCCCTGCTGCAGCCCCAGGAGATGGCCAGAGCCAAGACTAAGTCAGTATACCACTCACATCACACACTAGGCCTCAGGCATCATCCCTGGGGCTGGTGGGGCTCGCTGACGACGCGCCGCCCGATCCCCCGCCCCTGCTGCAGCCCCAGGAGATGGCCAGAGCCAAGACTAAGTCAGTATACCACTCACATCACACACTAGGCCTCAGGCATCATCCCTGGGGCTGGTGGGGCTCGCAGACGACGCGCCGCCCGATCCCCCGCCCCTGCTGCAGCCCCAGGAGATGGCCAGAGCCAAGACTAAGTCAGTATACCACTCACATCACACACTAGGCCTCAGGCATCATCCCTGGGGCTGGTGGGGCTCGCAGACGACGCGCCGCCCGATCCCCCGCCCCTGCTGCAGCCCCAGGAGATGGCCAGAGCCAAGACTAAGTCAGTATACCACTCACATCACACACTAGGCCTCAGGCATCATCCCTGGGGCTGGTGGGGCTCGCAGACGACGCGCCGCCCGATCCCCCGCCCCTGCTGCAGCCCCAGGAGATGGCCAGAGCCAAGACTAAGTCAGTATACCACTCACATCACACACTAGGCCTCAGGCATCATCCCTGGGGCTGGTGGGGCTCGCAGACGACGCGCCGCCCGATCCCCCGCCCCTGCTGCAGCCCCAGGAGATGGCCAGAGCCAAGACTAAGTCAGTATACCACTCACATCACACACTAGGCCTCAGGCATCATCCCTGGGGCTGGTGGGGCTCGCTGACGACGCGCCGCCCGATCCCCCGCCCCTGCTGCAGCCCCAGGAGATGGCCAGAGCCAAGACTAAGTCAGTATACCACTCACATCACACACTAGGCCTCAGGCATCATCCCTGGGGCTGGTGGGGCTCGCTTACGACGCGCCTCCCGATCCCCCGCCCCTGTTGCAGCCCCAGGAGATGGCCAGAGCCAAGACTAAGTCAGTGTACCACTCACACACATACATCACCAACGTCATATTCATATTGGGCCTAATTTTAACATCGTTCTCTTAATTAAAAACTGCAAAATTCCATTTTCACAACGTCTTAGTCCACTTAGTACACTTGCAGTGTCTGTAACACTGGGCCTCATTCTAAATTCGTTCTCTTAACCGCAAACTAAGGACAATAAATTCACCTCCCATATCCATACATTATGCCTGATTTTAATCAATTTACCTCCGACAACATTACAAATTTTTCACATCATTCTCTTTCTCTTAACCGAACAAAAATGAAGGACAATACACCTTCAAAATACACAAACTAGGACCCGCCCCCGCTGCAGCACCAGGACCTGGCTAGCGCCAAGACCACTTTTGTACACTATCCGCATCATTATATAGGGCTCATTCTATAACATACATCTCCAATGTCATTATACTAAACCACATACTTTTAATCAAACACTAAAGGTAATTTTGTTTTCTGATTTTGTCGAAAATCTCTACCATGTACGACAAAACTGTGGAATATATTGTCGCCAGCAGTTTCCGGACGAATACGACCTAAAATCCTTAAAAAAGAGCGTACTCCTTCCTTAAAGGACGTCATCGTATTTGTAATACTCCTGGTGTTGCAAATGTCTATCACTATGACGACGGTGATCACTTACCATCAGGTCAGCCGCCTGCTCATGTGCTTCCTATAATATAAAGAGACACCTGCCACACTCCTCATTGAGCATCATTCTCTGGAACAAAATCTAGACTCATTTCTACATCATTTTCAAAACTAAAAATGATGGCCAATAAGTACATTGGTGTCGATTCTGGTGTGATTGTCTAAACTAAAAACAAACTTTAATATCAGTCTCTCCTTTTCATTCTGTATAGAGAATGACAAGGATACACTGTTGTCAAACTTAAGTTTAGGTTTAGAGTACACGTTAGAATTGACACCATTTATTTATTTATTCCAGTTACACATGTCGGCATACAGAAAAGTCCAAAACGCCGGCAAGTCATACATAAAACATTCATAGCAGCACCATTGTCAACTTCCATACACTTTGCCTCATACTGTCGTCAATCACAAAAAAATGGTTGCCTGTAAAGTCGGTTTTACGGGCGAAGATTTTACGTGACAACGTCTTTTTCTCGGTAGAATATTTATTGATATGAATATAATTAAATTGCACAATAGGAACAAGGAATTGAATGAAAATAAGAATTGCACAAATTTTAACTATAGAAATATATTTTGTTTACTAAAACATTGTACATGTAAACTTAAACTTAACACGAGAGACTCATCGTAACGTTACCGAGCGTTACACTTTTTCATAAGTGACTCCCAGCCGCAACCTAATTTAAGACGTTGTCACGTCAAAAACCCTAAAAGAAAATACTCGAATGTATTAGTATAACTCTTGTCATTAAACAAAGGAATCAAAAATGCTGACGCAAGACATTCTGTCTCTCTCGCGCGTTGCATAGGACAGCAAGTGCGATTGAGACAGAATGTCTCGAGTTATACAATACAATACACAATGCTTTATTGAAAACACCACAACACAGAACAGAAATGAGGGACATTACAATTGTTAAAAAGAGTGCTTCAATGGGCGGTCTTATCGCTAAAAGCGATTTCTTCCAGACAACCTTTGGATGGAGAGGATTGAAAGAAAGCTGGAGTCGGCGGTGTCAGTAAAAGAACTTGTTTCTTGGATTTAAACGAATTTATGAAATAAATATATATACATACATACACGTTACATATACATATTATACGAACATATTACATGTATATACATATTATATATACATAGACTACACATATATAGGTTTAGTCCAGTCAGCGGAGATAAAAATGCAGCTACATCGACAAATATTAGTTATTTGTCGATGTAGCTGCATTATTGTTTGTCTATTTATTTATCGTCTGTTCGTATTTAGGGATCGCGACTACCGTCACGAGTTACTAGGGGAAGCGATGCGAGCGGGCACTCCGTTCGCCCTATGGAACGGGCCCACGGTGGTGGCGTGGCTGGAGCTGTGGGTGGGGATGCCGGCGTGGTACGTGGCCGCGTGCCGGGCCAACGTCAAGTCCGGGGCCATCATGTCGGCGCTCTCCGACCAGGAGATACAGAGGGAGATCGGTGAGGCATTATTATGTTGCCATCATGCCGGCGTGGTACGTGGCCGCGTGCCGGGCCAACGTCAAGTCCGGGGCCATCATGTCGGCGCTCTCCGACCAGGAGATACAGAGGGAGATCGGTGAGGCATTATTATGTTGCCATCATGCCGGCGTGGTACGTGGCCGCGTGCCGGGCCAACGTCAAGTCCGGGGCCATCATGTCGGCGCTCTCCGACCAGGAGATACAGAGGGAGATCGGTGAGGCATTATTATGTTGCCATCATGCCGGCGTGGTACGTGGCCGCGTGCCGGGCCAACGTCAAGTCCGGGGCCATCATGTCGGTGAGGCATTATTATGTTGCCATCAGTGTATTGGGGGTAGAATTGATCAAAATCCTTGCGGATGCCTACGTCATAACATCTAAATAAAATAAATAAATAAACTGCATGCCAAATTTCAGTGCGATCCGTCCAGTTGTTTGGGCTGTGCGTTGATAGATCACTATGTCAGTCAGTCACCTTTGAGTTTTATATATTACTAGCTGACCCAGCGAACTTCGTACCGCCATAAAAAAAATAAGGGTTGGTGGTAGAAAGTTGAAAATTTAGGGATGTATGTATTTTTGTGTGATGTATCATAAAAAAAAATTTAAAAAAAATCTAAAATTGAAAAAAAAAATTTGGGGTGGATTACCCTTAACATTTAGGGGGATGAAAAATAGATGTCCGATTCTCAGACCTAACCAATATGCACACAAAATTTCAAGAGAATCGGGAAAGCCGTTTCGGAGGAGTTTAACCACAAACACCGCGACACGAGAATTTTATACATTAGATATTTTATAAAACTCAAAGGTGACTGACTGACAGAGTGATCTATCAACGCACAACCCAAACCACTGGACGGATCGCGCTGAAATTTGGCATGCAGGTAGATGTTATGACGTAGGCATCCGCTAAAAAAGGATTTTGATCAATTCTACCCCCAAGGGGATAAAATAGGGAATGAAAGTTTGTATGAAACTTTGTCAATTTTAAACCGATCGTGCTGAGACTTTGCATGCAGGTATAAGAAGAATCATAGATGAATGTCATTGTGTATAATACAAGCCTCAGAACAAAAACTGTAGTCTACACTTCAGCTCTACACCGAAGCGAAGCGAGGGCGGACCGCTAGTATAAAATAGTTGAGTTATCCCACAGCTTTTTTTTGAGTAATTGCTGTAAACTATTTAATATCGTGGTTATTAGAAATAAAAAAAAATCATTAGTTCTTTAATTATTCAATGATTTAGAAGTTATCGTTTGGATTTCGGCAACAATTTGTGTAAAATTAAAAGGATTTTTCTATTCCTTATTTACATTTGACTCCAGGAGAGCGATAGCAAAAGAATTGAACATTTAGAACAAAAAGTTCTAAAATGAGGCAAAAATTACTTACTGCACCATCAGATTTTACTATTTTTCATTTATTGAAATAATCGTTCGTTATTTTTAGTTTTTCCAGTTTTTTTAATTTAGTACCTGTATTCGGAGTCGTCTCAGCTTAATGTTAATGATTTTTGCAGGCATCAGCAACCCCCTGCACCGGCTGAAGCTGCGGCTCGCGATCCAGGAGATGGTGTCGCTGACCTCCCCCTCCGCGCCCCGCGGCACCGCCTGCGCCGCACTCGCCTTCGGGGACATGAACCACGAGTGGATCGGCAACGCGTGGCTGCCCTCGCTCGGTGAGTATGGTGGGGTCACTGACCTCCCCCCGCCCCGCCACCTGAGGGGACATGACCCACGAGTGGATCGGCAACGCGTGGCTGCCCTCGCTCGGTGAGTATGGTGGGGTCACTGACCTCCCCCCGCCCCGCCACCTGAGGGGACATGACCCACGAGTGGATCGGCAACGCGTGGCTGCCCTCGCTCGGTGAGTATGGTGGGGTCACTGACCTCCCCCCGCCCCGCCACCTGAGGGGACATGACCCACGAGTGGATCGGCAACGCGTGGCTGCCCTCGCTCGGTGAGTATGGTGGGGTCACTGACCTCCCCCCGCCCCGCCACCTGAGGGGACATGACCCACGAGTGGATCGGCAACGCGTGGCTGCCCTCGCTCGGTGAGTATGGTGGGGTCACTGACCTCCCCCCGCCCCGCCACCTGAGGGGACATGACCCACGAGTGGATCGGCAACGCGTGGCTGCCCTCGCTCGGTGAGTATGGTGGGGTCACTGACCTCCCCCCGCCCCGCCACCTGAGGGGACATGACCCACGAGTGGATCGGCAACGCGTGGCTGCCCTCGCTCGGTGAGTATGGTGGGGTCACTGACCTCCCCCCGCCCCGCCACCTGAGGGGACATGACCCACGAGTGGATCGGCAACGCGTGGCTGCCCTCGCTCGGTGAGTATGGTGGGGTCACTGACCTCCCCCCGCCCCGCCACCTGAGGGGACATGACCCACGAGTGGATCGGCAACGCGTGGCTGCCCTCGCTCGGTGAGTATGGTGGGGTCACTGACCTCCCCCCGCCCCGCCACCTGAGGGGACATGACCCACGAGTGGATCGGCAACGCGTGGCTGCCCTCGCTCGGTGAGTATGGTGGGGTCACTGACCTCCCCCCGCCCCGCCACCTGAGGGGACATGACCCACGAGTGGATCGGCAACGCGTGGCTGCCCTCGCTCGGTGAGTATGGTGGGGTCACTGACCTCCCCCCGCCCCGCCACCTGAGGGGACATGACCCACGAGTGGATCGGCAACGCGTGGCTGCCCTCGCTCGGTGAGTATGGTGGGGTCACTGACCTCCCCCCGCCCCGCCACCTGAGGGGACATGACCCACGAGTGGATCGGCAACGCGTGGCTGCCCTCGCTCGGTGAGTATGGTGGGGTCACTGACCTCCCCCCGCCCCGCCACCTGAGGGGACATGAACCACTTAGCTCGGGTAGCGGAGGGTGCGGGTTCGAGTCCCGTCTGCTACCTGGTCCGCATGGACTTTTTATAGTAATATTTTCTTAAAATTAAAACATCGGGCAGTTACGTGCTCAAAAAAATAAAATTAAAGATAATAGTTTTCTTATTCCATAGATTTTCCATAGATATCACAGGAAAATATTTTTATTGACCTCATTAAGAGTCGTTAGACGCGATCTGTTCATTAAAATTCTGCATTACCATTCTTTAAAAAAATCTCGTTTATTTACAGGATTACCTCAATATAGGACAACGTTTATGGAATGTCTAGTCGACGCCAGAATGTTAGAACATTTAACGAAGAGAGATCTACGGACGCAACTCAAAATGGTGGACAGTTTTCACAGGTGATGTATTTTTTTTTATATATATAGCCAGGTAGGCAAATGACTCCACCCCACCTGATGTTAAGTGGTGATAAAGTCTAAACGCGAAGATAGCTGGTACAGCAGTTATAAACTGCCATCCTCACCTTGGCGGCCCGCAAAACTGCTTCTTCACGCCTCTCTTTAAGGACCCCAGATTATAGGAAGGAGGGAACACGTGCGCGGGCAAAGTTTAAAAAAATTCCACTTGCGAATAGTACGAAGAAATGAGTCACCTTTCTTTGTTCGTGTAGGAATATGACTATTAGGGCTTGTAACCGGTTTCGAAAATACCGGTAAATAAAGGTTAATACCGGGTTTTTAGTAAAGGTTTCGTTTGGAGGAATATCGGAAACACGCTAAAAAACAAGGTACATGGTAACAATCCCGTAAATAACTTATATTACTATAACGTTAGTGACCATGAAAGTTTAAAACAAGTAATATAGTAGCAATCTCACCAATGATTATAATGTTAGTGACCTTGAAAGTAAAACAATCTCTTATCTAATAGACAAGTCCGTCCGTCCGTCCGTGGTGCTGTTTCAGCGGCCAAACCGTAAGAGATAGATATAGAGAATGTTTAAGTTATAAGTTGAGAATAGTCTGATAAGACTACAAACCGGATGTGAGTAACGTAGCACTTCCGGTTTTCGAGAAATCACGTTATTTCTATTTCAAACGAAACCACACAAAATCTCCGAAGTTCTCAATTAGTTAAATATTTTTTTTTTTGTTTTTTTTTTTTGGTGAACATTTGGTTCACTGGTTTGCTAGTATCTTTATTAATTTATCTCGGTTTCCAGAACGTCGCTCCACTTCGGCGTGGCGTGTTTGAAGCGGGTAGGGTACAGTGTTCGCGCGTTAGAAGAGAGGAGACGCGCGGCAGAACATGGCGTTAGGGACGTGCTCGTGTGGACCAACGAGCGTCTGCAGCGCTGGCTCGCCAATATCAACCTTAAGGTGAGTGGCGTACGGGTGAATATAGCTTGTATGTAGCGGGGATATTATGGGATGTGCTCGCCAATATCAACTTTAAGGTAAGTAGCGTAGGGGCGAATATAGCGGGGATATTATGGGATGTGCTCGCCAATATCAACCTTAAGGTGAGTGGCGTACGGGTGAATATAGCTTGCATGTAGCGGGGATATTATGGGATGTGCTCGCCAATATCAACTTTAAGGTAAGTAGCGTAGGGGCGAATATAGCGGGGATATTATGGGATGTGCTCGCCAATATCATCCTTAAGGTGAGTGGCGTACGGGTGAATATAGCTTGTATGTAGCGGGGATATTATGGGATGTGCTCGCCAATGTTACCTTTAAGGTGAGTGGCATAGGGGTAAATATAACGTGTATATAGAGGAGATATCATGGGATGTGCTTGCCAATATCTATCTTAAGGTGAGTGGCGTAGGGGTGAATATAGCGGGGATATTATGGGATATGCTTGCCAATATCAACATTAAGGTGAGTAGCATAGGGGCGAATATAGCGGGGATATTATGGGATGTGCTCGCTGATAGTAACCTTAAGGTGAGTGGCGTACGGATGAATATAGCGGGGATATTATGGGATGTGCTCGCCAATACCAACCTTAAGGTGAGTGTCATAGGGGTAAATATAGTGTGTATATAGCGGAGATATCATGGGATGTGCTTGCCAATATCTATCTTAAGGTGAGTGGCGTAGGGGTGAATATAGCGGGGATATTATGGGATATGCTTGCCAATATCAACATTAAGGTGAGTAGCATAGGGGCGAATATAGCGGGGATATTATGGGATGTGCTCGCTGATAGTAACCTTAAGGTGAGTGGCGTACGGATGAATATAGCGGGGATATTATGGGATGTGCTCGCCAATACCAACCTTAAGGTGAGTGTCATAGGGGTAAATATAGTGTGTATATAGCGGAGATATCATGGGATGTGCTTGCCAATATCAATCTTAAGGTGAGTGGCGTAGGGGTGAATATAGCGGGGATATTATAGGATGTACTCGCCAATATCAACTTTAAGGTGAGTAGCGTAGGGGCGAATATAGCGTGTATATAGCTGCGATATTATAGGATGTGCTCGCCAATATCAATCAACCTTAAGGTGAGTGGCGTAGGGGTGTATATAGCTTGTATGTAGCGGGGATATTATAGGATATGCTCGCCAATAGCAACCTTAAAGTGAGTGGCGTAGGGGTGTATATAGCTTGTATGTAGCGGGGATATTATAGGATGTGCTCGCCAATAGCAACCTTAAGGTGAGTGGCGTTAGGGGTGAATATAGCGTGTATATAGCTGCGATATTATAGGATGTGCTCGCCAATATCAATCAACCTTAAGGTGAGTGGCGTAGGGGTGTATATAGCTTGTATGTAGCGGGGATATTATAGGATATGCTCGCCAATAGCAACCTTAAAGTGAGTGGCGTAGGGGTGTATATAGCTTGTATGTAGCGGGGATATTATAGGATGTGCTCGCCAATATCAATCTTAAGGTGGGTGGCGTTAGGGGTGAATATAGCGTGTATATAGCGGGGAGATATCATGGTATGTGCTTGCCAATATCAATCTTAAGGTGAGGGGCGTAGGGGCGAATATAGCGTGTATATAGCGGGGATATTATGGGATGTGCTCGCTAATGTCAACCTTAAGGTGAGTGGCGTTAGGGGTGAATATAGCGTGTATATAGCTGCGATATTATAGGATGTGCTCGCCAATATCAAGCTTTATCCAAATCCTGTTATTTAGGTACAGAATAACGTTACAAATAAAACTTATTATGACACATACGTTATTTTATAGTTTTAAACTTAGTCTGAGTTGATTATATACTAAAAAAAAATAACATTGATCTGAAGTCTGATCTGAGGTATGATCTGAGGTCTGATCTGAGGTATGATCTGAGGTCTGATCTGAGGTATGAACTAATCCATGCGTAGTCTTATTTTATTAATATAGGGGTCATCCATAAACTACGTCACACGAATTTCATGAGTTTTTGCCCCTTCCCCTCGTCCTTGTCACAGCTGGTCACATTTTTGAGACCCCCCCCCCCCTCCCTACCCGTGACGTCACGTAATTTGCAAATTTACATTTAGAAATTATCGAATGAAAACAACGGTTTTGAAATCAGTTTTATTCCCATTCAAATTGTTTTTTAATAATATTACATCAAATTAAACCATTAACAAAACGAGAAACGATTAATTAAATTAATTAAAGAAATTACCAAACAAAAAACGATTGACTTTATTAAATAAAGAAATTAAGAAAACAAAAATTATTAAGCATATAATTAAATTAAAGATACTAACTTCAAAATCTTGAGTCCATGGACATTGAACCCATTCCTTAAAATTATTTATAACTGGCATAGCAGCCACTTTGTTCTCGTTTGGGTTGTTAATGTTTTCGTAAAGTAATAGTTTCAACACTTAGATTATAATATATTTTGAAATGTGACGTCACGAAATTTAGGAGCTCTGCCACCCCTTGTCACACTTCGTCGACCCCCTCGCCCCCCTTAACGTGTGACGTAATTTATGGATGGCCTAAGAGGGTAAGTGTATATACTTCGTGAGATCTAATAAACCCAGTTTGCCACAAAACAGAGTTGCCCTGTTACAACATAATATGGTGGTCCATAATGACGAAATCGATTCATATTCATTTACGTTACCTTATTAACGACACCACCGTTTCTCTTACACCTTACACACTCGCATAATCGGATGAAATTAAAAATTGAACTTTAAGTAAATAAACACCCGATTAGTTATGCAACCCCAGAATCTTGGGATTTTATCTATATATATAAAAATTAATTGCTGTTCGCTGCTCTCGCTAAAACTCAAAAATGGCTGAACGGATTTATCTTATCTTGGTCTTGAAATGGAGGTCTAGGGAAGGTTTAAAAGGTGAGAAAAAGTCGAACAATTGCAAGGAAGATAGTAAAAATACAATTTTCATTTGTCCATACAAAATCCAATTATTGTAAGCACTAAGTACCAGCACGCTGGATCAGCTAGTTTTTAATACAAATGTCTTTAGTAGAAAAGTTTAAAATTCCATAATTTGTTAGTCATTAAAATAAGTTTGGTTAAATAATGCATCTGATTATCCGATCTCTTATTATAACATTTTCTTTCATGGTTTTTGTACAGGAATTCGCAAATAATTTATCGGAGAGCGGCGTGCACGGAGCTTTAATAGCGTTAGATGACAACTTCGATGCGAACAGTATGGCGTTGGCGTTGCAAATACCCACGCAAAACACGCAGGCAAGTATAGTTATATTTATCACTATTTTAAGAGGAGCTGGCGAACAAAACGGTATAATAGGGGTGATGACGGGGTACAGTAAACGAAATTCTATTTAGTCCGTCAGTTAGATGATCAAAAAATAATGGACACGTATTCTTTCTTTGGGCAATCAACCAAAAAATGGCAAAGTTATAGCGCGTCAAAGTTTGGGAGTAGGGGCCCCGTGACGTCACTTTTGAGTGAATTTTCACTTATAAGTGTACTCAAACGTGACGTCATGCGACTTTTCAAATCAATATATCTCTGCAATGTTTATAATATGTGAAAAAAGAAAAAATACGTGTCCAATACTTTTTGATAATCTACCTGATAAACGAAGAAAAAAAAATTTGTCATCATCCCTATTGCGTATCTGGTCAAACTACTTTTTTTACAGTCCGTAGGTTTCGGGTCCGTTGAATTTGAATCTCAAAGAATTTCAATCAAACCAGTGTTAAAATTACTTAATTTATAAATTAAAAACCACGCCAAAAGCTCATTGGAAGTATGTCATTCAGTTTTATACAGCTCCTGTAAAATGTAATTTAGTGTTATTATACTGTTTTGTTCGCCAGCTACTCATATGCTTTAAATAATAATAATAATATTCTTTATTGTATAACACCAGAAAGGACATATCAGTGTAAGATTACACTGACAGAGAGACATTACACAATGGGCGGCCTTATTGCTTAATAGCAATCTCTTCCAGGCAACCCATGACGGAAAATTAAATAAAATTAAGCACAAAAAAAGGGGGAAGGGTGTAAGAGCAATATTATAAAATAAAATCGGTAATAATAATATAGATGCATATTTATATGCAAAATAAAATAAACAAATAAATAAAGGAAAGAGGTATTTTCAAAGTAAAGATAGGAAATGACGCTTAACTTGCTCACGGAACGAGTCCAGAGTTCGAGCCCTACGAATGGATTAATTAGGCACTGATATCAAAAAAATACGATTAACTGAAAAAAAAAAATATAATGTAAAAAAATACAATAAAAAGAAATACGAAGGGTGCGGGTTCGAGCCCCGTCTGCTGCCTGGTCCGCGTAATTTTTTTTCTAGTTATATTTTCTTTAGATTTAAACATCAAGCAGTTATAAACTTTAAAAAATAAAAAATATAAAAAAAATAATTTAAAAAAAAATACATTCACGCTCGCTTCAATACCACGGCGCTGAAACTTATCATGAATTTTAAACTCTTAGAAAGACTCATGGTTTCAGAATATTTTATAGGGGATTCATATCGTGGGTGTAGACAAAGCCTTGTATTCAATAGGGTTTTTGACAAGTGTTAGAAATCGATCTCACGTTATTTATAACTAGCAAACCAGTGAACCAAAGGTTCACCAAAAAAAAAATGTATTTAATTAATTGAGAACGTCGGAGATTTTGTGTGGTTTCGTTTGAAATAGAAATCACGTGATTTCTCGAAAACCGGAAGTGCTACGTTACTCACATCCGGTTTGTAGTCTTATCAGACTATTCTTAACTTATAACTTAAACATTCTCTTTATCTATCTCTTACGGTTTGGCCGCTGAAACAGCACCACGGACGGACGGACGGACTTGTCTATTAGATAAGAGATGTCAAATGTCCATAAAAAGTGGATATTTTTTATTTTGTTGTGTAATAGACTATTTGACATTATGAAAAATAATGTACCAGTTGTTGTCATCTGTATTTAATATGAATATGAGCAGCGATTTAACTATTTCGAAGGAACAAATAATTAATGACTTTTCTTTAAAATCATTAAATAGAAATGTTTTTTCTCCATGGTCACGTGACCGAAAACGCCTGGGATTGGCGAAGACTAAAATTACGTCACCTGCTAGTAAACTTCCGGCAATAGTGACAGTATCGTTTACGTTTTAATGACATTTGGGTGACGTCAAATACTAGTGAGACGCTATAATGTCCAGATACACGTTTACGCGGCAACTTAAATATTGAATTATTAAATTAGTTTTTTTAACTAAATTACATAACAGAATTAAAAATATTTTTATGGACTCCTTATACATTAATAAATAACGTGAGATCGTTTTCTAAAACTTGACAAATAACCTGTTCAGTAAAAAAGACTAATTTAAAAATTCAATATTCAAGTTGCCGCGATAACGTTTCTCTGGACATTATGACGTCTCATTTTAGTCTTGACCAATCTCAGGCGTATTCGGTCACGTGACCGAGGAGCAAAAATATCATTTCTATTTAACTTCTTCATGGAAAGGTTATTAATTATTTGTTCATTCGGAATAGTAAAATCGCTGCTAAAATTCATATTTATTATTTATTAGCTCACAAAACAAGTTACAATTAAATATTAAGAAAACAAAGCAATTACAGTATAAAAAACCAAACTTCAACTCTAAATATGTGGGTATAACGTTTTAAAATGTTATGGGCTGAAGTTTACAGAAAAAAAAAATTAAAATAGAATTTCAGCAATAATTGTTGAAATTTAATAATAAAACACTTGCAAAAGTGAATGAACTGACTTTTTTTTTGTTAATGAAGTATTAATCTTTGGATTTCTTTCCTAAACTCAAGCCGACTACAAATAATGTCCAGGGAAGAATGATCCTTATGCAGATTATCGTATAGATGACACATATTTGTGATTGGATTTTAAAAGCACGTGTTGTTTTTATAAACTTGCAAAGTATAAGCATATATTAAATACAGATGCCAACAATAGGCATGATGACGGGGTAAAGTAAACGAAATTCTATTTAGTCCGTCAGTTAGATGATCAAAAAATAATTTACACGTATTTTTTCTTTGTGCAGTCAACCAAAAAATGGCAAAGTTATAACGTGTCAAAGTTTGGGAGTAGGGGCTCGTGACGTCACTTTTGAGTGAATTTTCACTTATAAGTGTACTCAAACGTGACGTCATGCGACTTTTCAAATCAATATATCTCTGCAATGTTTATATTATGTGAAAAAAGAAAAAATACGTGTCCAATACTTTTTGATAATAGGTACTACCTGATAAACGAAGAAAAAAAAATTAGTCATCATCCCTATTAGTACATTATTTTTGAAGTTATACTTCTCTAGGCGCGTTATGAAAAAATTATGAGAGTGAAATTTTAAGATGCGCGCGCATCACTGTAACACTAAATTTTAACAGCATGAAGTTGGTCGCTTTAGCGACCAACTTCATGCGTTACTTTTGTGTTTACCGCACATTATGAAAATCTACCAACAAAATAGAAATAGAATCTCTATTTAGTGTGTGCTAACGACTGCATTGTGAAGGCCTATCAAAAGTATTTATTAATCTGGAACAACGGAACCAAAGCGCGATTCAGGAGACTACAGCGCCATCTCTTGACCATGGGTGTAGTAGAACCAAAAACCACATCTTTATTTTTTGTAATAAAGTAACAGTTATAGGTATTCATATTTATAATATTTATCCACATGTTTCTAGTTTGTATATTCGGAATACGTGTTTGAGTTTCATACAAGTGCAAATCACATATGTTCTAATAAATTATATTCAGTAGCGATTTTAATTGAATATTTTGATTATTTATTTATTTTTTCAAATTAAAACTGAACTTTATTGACTGTGTCCTTTTCCAGACTTTTTATTAATTTATTGTAATTAATTTTAAACGATGCCAAAGAAGGATAACTTCTCACGCGCCTACATAAGTACACGCACCCATTTTTTTATACTGTCATTAGCCCATTGCTTAGTAATTAGGTATTTAAACGGTCGTGTGAGTCTATTTATATTTTAATACCCCTCATTTGCTGCAGGCGCGTCAGATCCTGGAGCTGGAATTCTCCAATCTGTTAGCGGCCGGCACCGAGCGGCGTCACCGCGTCGCCTCCTGACCCGCGCCTTCCCCGCTCTCCATGCACGACTAGGGGGAACAGCTTCCACTAATAAGGGGGGAGTAAACTCCACTACTAACGGGGGAGACATCCACCACCAATAAACTATCAATATACAATACCAGACCTTAAGCGAATCACATTACTAGGGGGAACACCTTCCACCACTGGGGGGTAACCTCCTATACTAACGAGGGAGATCACCACCAATAAAGTATCAATATGCAATACCAGATCTGCAGCGAATCACATGACTAGGGGAATCACCTTCCACCACTAAGGAGTGGGAACTCCCCCTTGTAACACACTTGAAGACAGACAGGATGATACAGAACTACGACTAAATATTTACTGAAGTTTCAGTGCATCAGTAAGAAAATTGCAGAAAAGTACTAGATGACAGTGAATACCTGGTCAGATCAAAACGACAGCCAGTACAATACTTCCTCAATATCCTAGAGAATTTGTGAGAAACCAGGTTCTGCCTCCTGATCCGCGCCTTCCCAGCTTCCCATGCACGACTAGGGGGAATCACCTCCACAACCGGGGGGAGAGATCTCTACCACCGAACCTATTGCAGATACAGAATTGACGCTACAGCAGCCACGGAAAGACTTCAAAGTTCTATAGTTTCCGTGAATCACCGAGGAAAATTTAGAAGTGCAGACTCAGTGAATCGTAAACTAAAAAGCACAGCTATATAACTTCAATCGACGACGAGCAATTAAAAAAACACGTTAAATATACTACCAACATGCAGATAGACAGCAACAAGATACAGAACTACAGCAAGATCTAGTATCTAGTACTTTCGCTCAAAAACTAAATCTAAGGCAAAGAAGAATCGCCAGGAATGTCTTTAGAGAATGTAATGCATCAACTTGCAGTGAATCAACACGAAGAAATCTTTTAAATCGTCACAGATTAAACGCTCGCCTTAAGTTAAGTTTCAAGTTTAACCAGTAAATTACCACAAAACTGAAACCACACAAAAAGCAGTATATTTGCAGTAAATTAAACTACCAAAAGTAAATAATACAGAAGTAATGCCTATCTACCAATTTGCAATCAAGACACGAAAAAAGATTCAACACTAACGCTACAGCAACGGTGAGGAAACTTCAATTCACCTGGTGAATCACAAAGAAGATCATGAATCAAAACCAAGGCAAAGAATTCGTTTCGAAGATCGGTAACGGACACCCGTAACTTTTTACGCAGTGCAGTGAAGTCTTATAAAACCCAGGACTATTGCATAAATCCGTATTCGTTCATTAAATGAAGTTCCAAACGCTGAGCCCCTTACTAATAAACAAAGACTAAGCTTGGATTAGCTACTCAATGTTTTGTTTCTGTTCATTGAATGGTAAATGGCATTTTAATGGTGATATGAACATAACACAGCGTAAGTTAAGCGTTAAGCTTCTTCCTCGTTTATTTATAAGGTTTATAGGTAAACAAAGTGCTATGCCATGGTTTAAGCCACGCACCCACCTTGTATGACTTAAGCAGGGGGCAACTAGGGATGAAACGATACCATCTAGGTATCGATAGTTTTACTCTATACTTTATCGGTCACAAAATATCGATGCCTACTCGGTATTGAATGAAAAGTATCGATACTTACTTGTATCGATAGATTTTGATGAACTATATTACAATTATATATTTAGTCACAGTTTTAATTTACCGTAAACAAAATAACGGCTCACGCCAAGCGATGAACGAATGACTGACTTAATAAATTGGAATAAATATAAATCATACGCAATGCTGCCAACTGAGCAGTAGAAAAGATGCGTTCGCAAATCAAGAATTACTACTAGAAATCTTACCAATAAATAAATAATCTGCCTACGAACTTTTTTGATACTTTTCAGTGAGTGACAAACCGAGTACCGATACAAGTACTTACTTCACGATACTACCTGTTACTCAGTTCTAAAGTATCGATGCCAAAAGTACTAAGTATCGAGTATCGAGTAGTTACTTGTATTTACTCTTATCGTTCCATCCCTAGGGGCAACACTATCGTCACTGAACAAAAGTGTAACATCTATATACTTACAATGAGAAAACAAAAATATACAAGAAAACACAATTACGCAGCGAAATTACCTATCACTCTATTGGTCAAGAGTTGCTCCGACAGATAATATGTACAGCATAGTAATATCAAATATCGAACCTCCGGTCCGAACTGTCAATTATGCAAAAAAACATTTTTTTCAGGAGAAGCGTTTAAAACTTTAACATCCCAAAACATACAATATTTAAAGTTTTTTTTTATTTTTTTTTAAGATGAATAGCTAAGCTGTATAAGCTTTTCATCGCGTAAAAATCTTTAAATATTGTATGTTTTGGGATGTTAAAGTTTTAAACGCTCATCCTGAAAAAAAAATGTTTTTGCATAAGTGACAGTGTCGATTACACCAACATATACTGAGTTATTTATAGAAAAATATTAAAATGCAGATCTACATTCAAATTCAGACTTTAAAGCCTTACTACGAAAAGTAAATGATACAGAAGCAATGCCTATCTTTATTCAACGTTATTTATGCAAAAGCGAAAACATCAGTTTGGACAGTACCTCGCCGGATTTAATCACTTTTTCGTTTTGGAAAGGGCGTACGTTAATTGGGTGGTTTTGTTTAATTTTCATAATTAAGGAGAATTATAGTTGTATCAAGCGCCCAAGTCTTTGCCACTTTTGATTGTCGATGCAAAAAATATGTAAATATTTTATAAAATAAGGCAATTATATTCTGGCAACTAAATATTAAATGACCGTAAGTCCATCGTCCAGGTTAATCGACATTATATAGAATGAATCGATTCGCACTTCACATCAATAAATTTAAATAATATTGTAGTTCATTTTACGAATCAATACAGAGCAGCTTTAAAAAATGTTAATTTTCGATCAAACTTATATCTGGTAACTGTTCAATGCCATATAAAAGCCTTTTAGAGTTTTTTAAGACTTCAGTTATATTATATTTTATTTAAAAATATATGTTCAAAACTATGTCAAACATTTGAAAGGTACTAAAACTGATTGAATCCAAACGTATTATATTGCCTATTGTAATGATTGTAAAAGAATTTTTGAACAAAAACAAAGAGAAAGAAATGCGAGACTAACTACGTGATTTCATTAATTTACTTTCAAACGCACTACGAGGTTTTATTTGAAATTCATCTGATTTTACAATAAAGATTTTTTTATTATTACTTGGTAATAATTTCTGTACTTTTTACTTTACTGTAATACTACGCTTAGGTTTAATCTCGCATTTCTGAGGGTAAACACTAATGAAAGGTGTGTGAGTTACAATTAAGAAGTCCATCATGTTAAGACTCTATTCTACTGAAAAGACTTACATAATTTTGAACATGGCAACACTAATATGTACGAATTATGATGGGAAATGTGATCATTAATTTTTACAATTAGATATAGCTAGTACAAAGGATGTATGCGAGATTATATGTTAAAACTTCTTGACATATTGAAGACTTGAGGATGTTGCCATATTCAGAACGAAAGAAAAAAAAATGTTATAGCATACAATAAAGTTTTCATTAATGTCTATATTGATGACTATTATAAAATAAAATAAATATACCTACAGTTGTAGAGAAGTTATGCTTTATCACGTTTTATGATAAACGAAAGTGCTCTAATGTGGTAGTTTAACTGTGTACTTAACATGTATTCCAATATTTATCGTTACGAAATACATAAAGTAGGTTTATACAGAGATGCCGCGCGTGTGTGACTCCATACGAACAATTTGTTTCAACATTTAAGTTATATGCTACTTTATTACTTAGGAAATTATCATATCCACAGTTCCCCTCATTAGGAGTCTGCTCAAACCGTTAACATTGTAGTTGTCACATGGCGCGGTACGTTTCATTGAAAAGGATACCCGGCATTTTGTGCCAAAGCTGTATACTTTTTTAATTTTTTTATCTGTGTTTCATAATTGGGTAACGTAGTCTGGCAATATTTGTCATCAGCAGCTAGCTGTCTTTGTCAAATACGTAGGTTTGTCATCAAAAGGGTTTCTATATCGAAAAATATTAATCATTAAATAACTTCTTTCCACGATTCACTAAAAATAAGGCAAAAGTAGTTTTATGTAGCAAATAATTTTGGCTTTATTTTGAGACCAAATTCAACTGTATACAAGTTTAGCATTTTTTCTATGAAAAGTGCCGGGTCTCCTTTTCATACTCTGATGCCAAATATTAGTTACAATAAAACTAATATGTTGTTAAGGCGTGGTCTCACAGTCGCCACGCCCCGCTAGTTACGTTGTCGTGAGAGAATTTTCATCGTTATAATCAATCGTACAACCTCTTATCGTATTTTTGAAGTTATACTTCTTTAGGCGCATTATGAAAAAATGATGAGAGTGAAATTTTTAGATGCGCGCGCATCACTGTAACCCAAAAGTAACAGCATGAAGTTGGCCGCGGGCGCGTTATGAAAAAATCATGTGAGTGAAATTTCAAGATGCGCGCGCATCACTGTAACACAATAGTAACACCATGAAGTTGGCCGCGGGCGCGTTATGAATGTTAGTGTCTAATAATGGTGGATTATTAACCACTTAGTGGTTCCTTTTCCAGTCCTTTTATTATTTTATTGTAATTATTAATTATTTGCATGCAATTAAAAAATATTTTTAATGATGCTAAAGAAGTATAACTTCTCACGCGCGTACATAAGTTACACGCATCCATTTTTTTTTATGTAATAAGAGTGTATTCGGGCGCGTCCGGTCTTCGCGAGGAATCTTACCTACTGTACTGTGACGTCACAATCTGATATTTGTGATCTTAGCGCGTAGGAACAGTGCAGCATCCTCTGTGGATTGCGGCCCCTTATAATGATTCTGTCTTAAGTGCCTCGCGGAGGTGTTGTATATATTAGCTTTACGTAGGTTCATTGTGTGCCTCTCCGTTTGTCGGTTTGTTTCATTGCATACGATAAACACTTACCGTTTGTATTTAAATAATAAATAAACTATTAAATATCTAAAAAGATAATAATAATAATAATATTTAAAAGTTAAATCACAAACAATGTAATATTTATGATAATATAAAGAGTTACTAATAGTCGCGATACGCTTTACCGCTTGTTGTTGATTTGTACCGGGACCGCGGTACTGCGATGGTATTCCGCCGGTACTCTCTTGAACGGAGGGGGGGTGAGGGCACACAGATAACTAGTCTTATGTACAGTGTTAACCGCATTGTTTTGTAATCTTCTATTTTATTAAATACTTATAGCGGAGACAATTGAGACGTAGCTAGGTATATTTTTGTTATAACGTTTATACAGATGATTGAAATGCGCGGAAAGTTACATTGCACGCTATTCAACTTAGCACAGTTGTTCAGTTTAGTGATTCTCTAAAAAGTTGTCACTAAGGATTTACTCAAGTACAAGCGCATGATCCTTTGATTAAATAAGAACAATAAAGAAAAAAAAAAAGTTTCTTGGTAATGGACTATTTTGAATAGCGTTGTAATTTCAGTTATAAAAACGGTGTTTGATCGGCGCGATACAGTCTATATTACATTTTTTGTTATCTAGAAGTGTGATAAAATGTTGTATTTTTAATGTAAACGAACATAGAATTACTTTAGTTTTATGATATATTTTTTTATATAACTGCAAAATAAACTCCAAACTATTTTACGTATTTTTTTTTATTTGTATTTTTTTTTATAATTAATGCTCACAAACGAAGCGAATGGTCGAACACCGTTAGACATGTCGTCAATAGTTAATGAAATTTTGGAAATTGTATAGCTAACCGATTTTAATTTGTATAATCTTTATTATTAGCGAATATATTGTAAATATGGTTTCTATGACATAGCGTTTCTATCATGGGTAGTTAAAAAATGTAGCAATATTTAGCTAGGATGTGTTCAAACGAGTAGATTGTTATTTTATTAATTTCTAATGTTTTATTTATTAAACTAGGGTTTATTATTTATTACTTTAATAGTAACACGATGTCCGTAAATATTCTATTATTATTAATTTTCATTACTTATGTAATAATTACCTCATAATCTTGGTATGTCTGCGGGATTCGTATGTTATCACAATTTTTAACATTAATTTTAATTAAAAGAAAATACGGTCAAAATAAAAAATGGGCTGCTAATGTATGTACTTTGTTAAGGTAATTGTGTATAGTACATAATATGAGGAAAACAGTATTAATAAAAATAGACGAGTTAATGTGGAATTTAATTGTTAGTGCGCGCAATTAAAACGCATTGTATTGAAAATTATTTAACAAAAATTTATAATTGAAATCTTAATCAATGTGTACAAGGGAGTAGTTATTATAATATGTTGTTGTGGCTGAAAGTGAAATTGTTTTACATTTACAACATGAGCGAGTCGCCTAAGTGTCAGGTTAGCTGCCTAGATATGTTGTCGGAAATAAAATTAATTCAATGCTTTTTAAATTGATATGCTGTCTCATTTTATAGCTATCGCAAAGACACAGACAGACAGCATCATATTTAAAGAAACTTATAAATAATAATTGCCTTTTTTGAGTGCCGCCGCGCCATAAGATAATTTTTTTATGTATTTAGAAAGTTTATAAATTTTTCATATATTATTGCTGTTTTTAAATAAATCATTTTGTTTCATCTCCTTGTGCTAGACAGCGGTGCTGTATTATCCGCTAGAGGCGCTATTGTGAGATGGAGAAAATATATTTCACACACTTTTTTAACTCTTAAGGGCTCGCTCTGTTGTTATAGGCAATTTTATTGTCACATGCTCGGCGCTTTTGAGTTACGGCGGCCAGTCACACTCGCGCCCTTTGTAATCAAAAAGTTACTCAATAGTGCTGAGGGCTTCTAACATTAAAACTAAACTCTAATCCCTTCTAATAAGGCTGTTTACGGTGGATACATCAAATGCGAAGCCTTATCTAAAACCAATCGGCACTGTCAAAATTCCAAATAAACCCAAATTTGTATATAATAAATATCTATATATATATATATATATATATATCCCCGAGCCAGTATGGTTGGGTGTTTGAGAACCTATTAGTATCTACGTTACGACGTCACCGTCTCGGACGCTCCACGTCATTATATCATTCGTACACATCAATCGCTTCTTTATGAAGTAAAATTATATAATTATGAATAGCGGCGCAACGTTTCTATGGAAGCGAGTATGATATTATGTTAACGAGAGGTTATTTAGTCATTTGTTAGTGTATAGCTTTTTGGATGTAGCTATATGTTCTGTAATGGAGTCCGACATCTCGTCGGCCTCGAATCGCCCGTTTTATACTTTGATGGTGGATCTTGTAGATATCGCTTATCGTTTTAGTCCGAAGACGCTGGAGCCTTCCCTAATGCATTGTAAAGAAGCAGGTAGACTCGAGTCTCCTATCCGTAAGGAACCTCCTCAAGTGCCAACGACACTCGGCGGCGATTCTGACGAACGCAGCCGAAATACGCTAAGGGAGTGACCACGCCTACGCCCGTCCTTCTGCTTCATCCGTGTATCTATCCTTTTCTGTCGCATACAAGAACCGTAGAGCGAGAGCTGCAATATCCTCACGGATACGTCTCACTCCAAACAGCAAACTTTTTGTGTAAGAAAAAGGAATGGATGAATTGGAGTCGTAGATAAAAATGTCCGAGGACGCGCGTAGATATGGTCACTGGCTTAACTATTATTATTTTCCGTGACATTCCAGCGAACATTTCGGTATTAAGTAAATATGAACTTGTCGAACAAAATGCGAAATATTATTCCATACTCCGACCCCTGTGGCTCGCGCTACCAAAGAGTAAAGTTACCCTCAATTTAAGGAATTAATGTAAAATAGTTTGTTAGTGAAATTTCGAATGTATATATATATTATATAATTTTTGCATAAATGTGTTGCATAGCTTGGTATAGAAGGGAGTATTTAACGAGAGTATGTACTGCTAGCGACCCAGTGTGTCAGATTATCGCGGTTAGTGTAAACGGTCCGTTTGCTCGCCGGCGCCGGCGCAACATTCCAGGCTTTATATGTCATGTCAATCGCTTCGACCCCGAGCCTCAACCGATGCATTAACGATATGTACGCGAAGTATAGTTTTGTTGTACAGGGGCATCCGTAATGTCTGAATTCGAAATTGTTAAATTAGACAATGATTATTTTGACCAATGTAATCTGAAGTACTGTGTAACCTTTGTAAAAATATTTATCGAATGTGCAGTGACGACATACGTTATGCATAATGATAAGAGGTAAATACAATTTACACGATAAACTGACTCGTTTTATTTCACTGTATTGTGTAATAGGTCCTCTTTATTATTTTAAATTCCACGCCTTTACATTCATTTTTCTTCATTTTTGACACGACAATGTCTTATCGCTCGAAATCGATGAACACCGGCTGCACGCACGAAAGTGTCACGTCCATAGAGGTATAAGAATAGAGTAGGGAAGGCGACTCTAAAAGTGTCCGTCTAGTAGAAAGAGAAAGAAGATGAAAGACGGCTAGACTTTCTCTCTCTAATCGCGAATGCGCATTGGATGAAAAACCTACGGATGAATACCGACCAATCACACGACTGCGCAGCGTCACGAGAGAGATAGCTAGCCGTCCCTCATCGTCTTTCTCTTTCTACTAGACGGACACTTCCCCTTGTAGTAGAGTACATACTCTATTCTTATACCTCTATGGTCACGTCCGCCTGAGCTTAAAGCGTGCAAGCGAGAGCTCAGAACAAGCGATAGAGAGGCACGATAATTTTGACGTGACAACGTCTTAAATTAGGTTGCGGCTGGGAGTCACTTATGAAAAAGTGTAACGCTCGGTAACGTTACGATGAGTTTAAGTTTACATGTACAATGTTTTAGTAAACAAAATATATTTCTATAGTTAAAATTTGTGCAATTCTTATTTTCATTCAATTCCTTGTTCCTATTGTGCAATTTAATTATATTCATATCAATAAATATTCTACCGAGAAAAAGACGTTGTCACGTAAAATCTTCGCCCGTAAAACCGACTTTACAGGCAACCATTTTTTTTTTTCATCAATGTTTCTTTATGACATTATCACGAAAACTATGGTCCGTAAACTGACTTTACAGACAAACAATTTTTAAATATACGCATGTTTCTTCATGTCCACCCCTGATGTTAAGTGTGCGTTGGTGGCCTGTTGTGAAATTGCGGCCTACATCGGCTTTCATTACGTCCAAGGAGGTCGCAAGGGGGGCAAGTAAACCTATTTAAATGAAATTTCGCATAAAGACAGTTTGAATCATGGGAAAGGATACACGTTATTGTTCTTATTTTCAATGCTTAACAGGCAAGGCGTTTGACCACAATCTCGCCTGATGGAAAGCGATGATGAGGCCTATCATGGTACACGCCTGCCGAGAAGGTGCCTGTTCATTCTGGCCTTGAAGATGTCCAGATTATATTGGCCCGGGAAAACAGATTTTATCCTAAAATTCATCCTTCAAGGAAGTGAAAAGGAAAAAAAAAACAATTTTTCCATGCAGGCGAAGTCGCGTGCACCCACTATTTTTTACATGAACCTTATTCCAGAAACACCTCACTACAGAATGCCATCATTTGGCGTAATATTCTTTTTCGAACATGTAACTACCAGGAGGGCACAACTTTACAAAGTTAGTCATCTTAAGCAGTCATCAGTTTTCTAATGTCTCCGTTGCTGGGGTACAGGCCTCTATGGATGGAAAATGGATGATGAGCCATAAATATAAGTTACTAGCTGACCCAGCGAACTTGGTACCGCCATAAAAAAATAAGGGTTGGTGGTAGTAGAGTGAAAATTTAGGGTTGTATGTATTTTTGTTTAATGTATCATAAAAGAAATAAAAAAAATATCTAAAATTGAAAAAAAAAAAATTTAGGGATTACATCCGATTCTCAGACCTACTGAATATGCATATAAAATTTCACGAAAATCGGTCGAGCCGTTTCGGAGGAGTTTAACCACAAACACCGCAACACGAGAATTTTATATATTAGATATCCTTTTTGGCCGTGAGGCTATGACCCATCACCTGAGCTCAGTGCGGGGTGCACGGGTTTGACGTTTTGTAGCCCACTGCTTAAATTGACTACATCTACATGCTATAATTTCTGGTTTTGACAACCCTTCTGCTGAAGAACATCTCGTAATATCACTATTTCTAGATTAAACCATTTCGTTTTGTAGCACACTGTGGTAACTATACCTACAGTGCAAGGGCGGATCCAGCTTTGGCGCCAGGGGGGGGGTCATATAGCCAGCTTTGGCGCCAGGGGGGGGGGGGGGGGGGGTAATATAGTCGTGGTATATTAAATACTGAAAGTACATAAATAAAATCCCCCTGGGTTTGGTCCATCTGTACCCAGCCCTGGATCGTATCTGGATGGAATTATGTTTAAAAAAATACACTGAAGTTAAGTAAGTAACTGATGTGATAGTAATTATTATATTACGAACGAGTAATAAGTTGTTTTTTAAGGGATATTTCTTGTTATGTTATGACCACGCGAAGACAAAAAAAGTTGCGTATTTTTGCACACCATGATTCAGGTAGTCAAATAAGGAAGTGATCAAAAGCAGAAATGATCCATACAAGACCTAAGTATTACAAATCCAAAAGAGAATTGTTTTTTTTTTCATAACTGGAAAAATACCAACGAAGAACTGGTACTTAAACCCCTGGATATTAACAGCCAGGATGCATTCTAGAATGACGGCTTAACGTTCAGTAACTCGAGATAGTAATTTTTGGTCACCCATCCTATGAGCGCGAGCCATTGGAAAAGTTGCTTGGTTTCTACGATCGCAGACGAAATATCATCAACATTAAGCTTTGCTGTCCTAAAGTTAAAGTTACCTGTTGCGAAAAAAAATTATTCAAAGGATACAATGAAAAAGTTATTTTCCTCTGTCACATGACCAAAATATAACACAGTGAATCAATAGTTTGCATATTTTAGAACAGCAGCTCCACCCACTGTCACTTAAATTAACATGGTTTTAGTAACTACACTGGCCTGCAAAAACCAAGAATCACACTTTAAAAGTTGCTCTTTTCAAAAATATTTACTTCCGAAATGAAAAGGGACTCGAAAAAAAAAGAGTTCAATTTTGTACAATAGTTTCAAATAAAACTGATAAAATTTGTTATAAAACCTTTATTTTATTTCTCTTCTATTGTTAAGAAAAAAAATAAAATTTTAAAAATGTGAAACTTAGTTTTGCAGTCTAGTGTAAATTGGACCTTCTGCAAAAATATTTTTGATAAGTACTTATTGATTTTTTGGTTGATCGCGATAGAATGTCTGTAGTCTCTATTGACTTTTTATTTGAAACAAAAAAAAATCTAGTAACAATAGCTTTTATTTTACTAGTTATTTTTACATTTGCGTCTTCTTTTTGTTGCCCATTTTACTTAAATGCCTACAGATCTTCTTTTTCAGCTCCTTCTGTCGCTTTATTCTCCGCCACTCTTCGTCTTCGAGTTGTTTCTTATGCGCTTTCAGCCGCTCCGCCGTCGCCGCCTTCTGTTGCTCAGTCTTTTTATCGAAATTCATTTTCAACATTTTCATCACATTGGTAACTTTTTGTTCATACGGGTTCTTGATAACAGCTACCCTGTCCAATTGAGTTTTAGGCTTTCCAGACAGTGTGGTGGATTTATTCTTGGGTTTGAATCTGTAAGGCAGTCCCTTCTGTAATTGTTTTGGTATTACTAGGGGTTTGAATACTTTCGGTTCCCTGTTTACTTCTGTGTACATAGAATCCGTGTTAGCCTCGCTCTTAACATTGCGCTCTCTCTTTAACTGCCCTTTCGTTTTCATGCCTTGCCAAGCATTTTTAGCTCCTAAGGGCAAAAGCAGATTCACGACGGGAGCATAAAACTTGGTGACGTCGACTTTGAACCACGTCCTACAAAATATTATATCACTCATAAGGATCTTATCCTCAAATGTCGCTCTGAAAGCGCCTTCGGGCTTGTTTAGAGCCTTTTTGATCTGTCCCCTAATCCCTGAAACTGTTTTTACTTTGGCTCCTTCAAATTTTGCAACTTCTAATGTGCTTGTGAACATGTCTTTTATGAAGGCAGTTTTCTTATATATTTTTAGAGGTGTACCAACAAGTTTTAATTTCTTTACAATCTGTGTAGACTTGTTAATTTCATTCACACTGCCCGTAGCAGCTATTCTGAATCCCAATTGTTTGATTTCATTATGATTGTTGTTTACTGTTTGCAAAGCAAGTAAACCAGTATTTTGTGGAGTTACCGGCCCATAGAAATGCATATTACATGTTACATGTTCTGGCGTATATTTTAAGTATCTACATTTTAAGTCATCCTCTATTTTTGAGTAAATCGGTAGTGTTTGAAAACGTCGCCAACCAAGTGATATAATAAGTGGGTCATTGGTTTTTAAAATTTTCTTATACCACCTGTGTTTCTTTACTTTGCAAGAAACAAATCCTATATTCTGTTCTGCCATATTAAGAGCCCCAATCAAAATAGGGTATGTAGAATCGAAGTTGGTTACGAATTCTGAAGGCATATTTTTGAACATCATTCGCACATACAAGCCAGGTCTAAAACCTTCAACTTCAATTCTCAACCCATTATCCAAATTCTCAAATACAGACTTATTTAATTCAGACTGTTTCAGTGCTTCTGCTTTTAAGTTTTCATAATATGAGTGATCCCCTTTTATTCTATGATCATCTGGATTATCATATTCTGAATCAAATTTTGCTTTTAATTTAAGCTTTTTATCCAGTATTTCAGATTTGGTTGGTTCTGCTTTACGTTTGTTGCCAGCCTCCAATGTATTGATATCTTCAGAATTTTCGTTTGTAACATGTTTCTCGCCTGTTTCGAAATCTTCAAAATCCCCATAAACTTCTTCATCATCTCCATCACTTGCATCATCTAATTTTAAAAGTTCTGATGCATCTTCATCTGCAGATCTCTTGCCAGTCACAAAATAGTTGATCAAATGCTGTTTATTGGATTCACTGGTCCAATCCCTCAACAGTGGTTTATCTAATGAATAAAAGAAGGAACATTCATCTGTATCTAGTCTCTCCTTTTCTTTTTGTTTTTTCTTTTGGGTGGCAGTTACTTTCTTGAACAATCCCCCAATTTCTTCTTCATCTGAATCATCTTCAGATTCATCTATTTTATCTTTAGTCTTGTTCCCAATCTCAAATTCACCATAAACAAGCTTCATTATATTTCCTGATGTGTTCTGCCGTTCAAAATAGGCATCTGTTGCTTTTTCATTCATTTTTTCTTTCCACTTAATGCCAAAATCTTCCTCATCTTCTTTCTCACTATTAGTTTCCTCTCCTGATTCCTCCTCATTATTAGACCCATTATCCCAAGGCAATTGGTTTTTTCCAGTTTTTATCTCATTTTGCTCAATACCACTGTCATGATCAGAATCAGACTTTTCATCATCCTCGGAACTAGAATCTTCAGAACTTTCATCTCTATCCTTGCTTTTCTGTTGCAGGTACTCATCATCTTTTAACATGTCTGGATAAATGACAGCTCCTCCACTAAATAACTTAAAGCCAGACTCTTGCATCTGTTCATCTATAGTTTCTGTAGTTTCAACAACATTTTTCAGCAATGCTTTTTTCTCATTTGTCTCCTCATCCTCTTGCTTGTGTGAGTGAGAACCTTTTAGCTCTATATAAACAGCATCTTTATCATAAACAATGCCACCTACACCAGAGAAAGGTGCATATATTTGTCTCTCTCTCTCCATCAAGTGGCGTTTCTTTTCACTGCTTGGCAAAGGGCATGGGTCTGGTAAATATGAAAGTTCACTGACCTTCATATCACCAACACCTAAAATAAAATATTATTAATAACAATGGGAAAAATTGTGGCCCGATAACATGAAAAAATATACTTGGCTGCACTCAGAGCCTTCAAATTTCTTCATTCACTTGAGTGTTGTCTTATCCTACAATTCTACATAAGTGATAGCAGAGACTGATTAAACTCGAAAATTAGTAAATATCTCCAAATGCAACCATAAGAGTGGATTTAGCAGAAGCTTCTAGAAACTTATCTTCAATCTACACCCAAAGAAATCTTTCACTCTATTATTAGCAAGCAATAAAAAAATATTAATATAATTAAAAAATATAAATACAAAAACATAAAAATAACTTGTTAAAAAATAGTTTTAGTTTGCTAACCTGCTATATGAACCATTGTTTCTTTCATAAGTGGTACTCCTCTGACATATCCATACAGAATTATATCCCTGTTGACTTTAGGGTCCTTTCTTATAATTTCTTGGTTAGTAACATCTTCCATTCTATCAGCCAATATATAAGCATGGGTAGATCGCCAGCTTAGTGGCCTAAATTTCATAACAGAAATGAATCTAGCCAGGTTTTTGATTTCATTTCTCAAATATTCTCCATGAATAATACCAGATAGATAGAACAGTTTCGCTCCTGAGTATACTTCGGTCCAGAAGCGGTGCTTCAAAGTCTTCTTTGTAGTTTTCAATGTTTTCGCATTTTTGATCATATCTAGATGAGTCAACACACCCATTATCTTGGGCATACCATGCACTTGACAGATGTTTAAAAACTCAAAGATCTCCATTTCGAAGCCAAAACTAGCATCACACAGTAACAATACTAAATCAGCACACTTTGCTATATCAATCATTGAATTAATATCATTGTTACATTCAATCAAGGTGATTCGGCGTTTCTTAGAAGTGACTATTGTTATAGGGCCATTAGTACTTGTGACGTTGGTTTTTATAAAGCTTTTGATGAGATTATTTATCAACGTAGTCTTCCCTACTCGCGGAGGGCCCACCACAGCTACTATGATTGGAGGCGGTTCCAGAGGAGTTTTATCTACCTGAGGAATGTGCTGCTTCTTGGCAATAACATCCTCGCGACGCCGAAATTGCCGCTCTGCTCTTACAGCTGACTGGATAGCAAAAGCCTTTGGATTTCTTTGTCGAGCACTTAGGTTAGATGTGTCTATTTGCTTCTTCTTTTTTTTCTTTTCCGCTTTACGCCCAGCTTGTTTTGCCCTGTGGGCTTTCTTCTTGTCAAAGGCGGATTCATCTGCCATTGTATTAGTTATTAAATTAATAGATAAAGTTAATTCACGTGTTCAAAATAACATGATTAGACTGACAGACAATTGACATATTGAATTGACATGACCACAGACTAGTTAGAGATATAGACATGACAACATGTCAAAGTAATTTTTTTAAGAGACTCCCTTTTCAGTTAGGGCAAAGAGAATAACATACAGCCTAAACTCATTTTATTAATCTTCTTTATGTTTTTTTAAAATGTGAGTGTAACCCACATTCTAAAAGCATTGTAATGTTTCTTGGAGTGTTTGGCACGAATGTATCAAGTTGGCTTTTTCGATAAGCTTCTGTGAGGTAGTCAACACTACAATAAAATTCTCTCGTCCTAATTCTTCGTACTAATTCTTCAGTTGCGCAGACGGTTGTAACACCAATTTTATTGCGCAATATCACCTATGAACGAATTTTAGAATAATCAAAATAAGACGCCAACCGCACTCGATAAAATCCCGCCAAATAATTCCCAGGTCAAGGCAATGACATTTTGGTTCCATTCCAACCTACACTCCGGACGTAACTTAAATGTAGGAGTTTTTGGCGTGTCCGTCATAGTAGCGTACACCACATCAAATTCGAGGTGTTAAATAAAGCTATAAAATAAAGTATACTCATGATATTAAATAAAGTTCATGGATCCTTTATAAGTCAATTTATATATTTCTAAGATTCGTAATGATATTCTTTATATTTCTTTATATGAGTATAAAAACAAATGAAAAATTGCATGCTTAATTAGTATGAAAGGATATTATTAAACAATATTTAAATGGTATAACTGCTTGGTCGTAATTTTACCTTCAGACTTTTTTCAGCTATATTAAATTTGTCTTCTCAAAAGGAGTATTAAAGAGAACCTTGCACTTAGTGTCGTTTATACACTTGCTCATATATTTTGAAAAAAAAAAACTGGATATGTCGTGACTTTTATATATTTATTGTTATCTATTTCACATTATGTGATGGAAGTTGACCTCAATACATGTTTATAATTTTGATGTCAGTTTTAAATTTGACGACACCGTATAAAATAAAACAGGGGGAGTACAAGATTTGAAAAACCGATGCTGTAGCTTTCGATGCTTAGCATCTCAACTTAGTCTGTGATTTTAACTTTCACATGTGCTTGTAACTTTGAGTTTGTAATAGCCTAAACTGAGTAAATTAATTGAATTTGTTATTATTATCATTAATCTGAGCGTTGTATTATGCATTACAATGATGTCGATTCTGGCATGATTCTCTACACCTAAACTTAAATTTGACTACAGTTTATTCTTGTCACGCTCTATACAGAATGAAAAGGAGAGACTAATGTTAAAAGTTTTAAGTTTAGAGAATCAAGCCAGAATCGACACCACTGCCAAACAAATAAGGGTCTGTTCCAAAATATTCATCAGTATACTGGTCAGTGGTAATGACATGACGTCACGAATCCGACGCTATATTGCACTGGTATGATACCATATTTTTACCGGGAAAACGAAGATGACGTATGACCGAGCGTGCGTTAGATGCATTCGAATTTTATTTCTTTTTTATTTAAAGAACAATAATGGCATCCGGACAAAAAGAATTCCTTTTAATTGATGAGGTGAATAAAAAATCTTCTTTATTCGCACTATTTTTAATATTTCGTCGATTTATGACGTCAGTGCACTGGCCAGTATATTTCGGAACAATTCACCAGTATAGAGTCGATTCATACGTCATTAGCACTGGCCAGTATACAGGTATATGAGTCGTATAGTATCAAAGGCGGCAAAGTAGGGCGAACCAAATATTTGGCAAATCAAAAAAAACTGTTTAGTCTCGTCTTTAAGGGAGGATAAAATATTGACATTTCACTACGATTTGTAGTTATGATGAATGTCAATTATAAAAATTCTCCCTTAAAGACGAGACTAAACAGTTTTTTTGATTTGCCAAATATTTGGTTCGTCCTACTTTGCCGCCTTTGATACTATACGACTCAATAAGGAAGACACCCTTTAAAAAGTATTCCTGAACAAAAGTCTGGGTTACCATTTAAAAATTTAATGGTGACAGTGACAGTTGCGTGCTGCGATCTACAAAATCGAATACTTACATTTTTATTTATTGGCTTTATTGTTAACTGGTGTGATTGTGTGAAAATCTTTTATTTGGATGATGATAACAAAAAAAGGGTCAACCAATGATGTCGATGGTGTGGTGTAACTAATGTGAACGGAATTTAGGAACTAAGTTTTGTTACTATGAGTTCTTCAGAAGTGGATAGCCGCAGTATCACTATTTCCATGTAAGTATTATTGATGCATTTTTTACTATGAAAAGCTCGATAAATATGTCCCGCTTATACCGAGACAGTGCACAAAAAATATTAAAAAAAAGTTATATTGCTAAAAAATGCTCTTGGTGATGTTACTGCAGGACTAAGTTCGAAATCGAAAGGTCATTGATCTATATTGCACTGTCTGACTATGTTTGAGCAGATAATGAGCAAGGCTAGATAAATACAGTGTCACTTTGTTGCATAGATATGTTATTTTATGCAAGTAGATCTTGGCATAGTCAGACCTAATTTTGCTTTACCAGACATGTTAGTCAATATTCATTGTTTACATAATTATCTCCTACAATATGGTGCCAAAATTAAAGTGAACTATGTGAGTAGAAAACAGTATTTTCCTAATGAAGTTTTCAAATTGAACAATTAAAATTTAGTGAAGTTGTAGAAAATGTTAAATAAATAATTTGATTTATTTTACGTTTTCATTAAATTCAATGTATAAAACAAATATTATTCATTGTCACAAGATTAAATACTTTTAAATAAGTAAAGAAAACTTATTTTGAAATTTCTTTGCAAAATTGAGACTTCAGTATTAGCATTGTAAATGAAAAAGTTGTATTACTGTCATTAAATTCTTCTCCATGTTTTTAGGCGCAAATCAGTGGAGAATTTAGTTATATCATCCCAGGATGCTATTGGTCAGAGCATCAGTCAAGCACTTAACTTCTCGGGGGTCATCTCTCAGCATGCCACTCAAATCATCCAGGAGACCAGGTAAGATGTGGTGCTATCATATATTTTTTTATATTATAGGGGGCATATAAGCTGACGGCTTAGCTGATGGTAAGTGATCACAGTTGAGTCGCATGTTTCAGTAAATACTGTTTACAAATTATTTCATTTTTTTAAGGTCAATATAAATAACTAGCAAACCAGTGAACCAAATGTTCACCAAAAAAAAAAAAGTATTTAATTAATTGAGAACTTCGGAGATTTTGTGTGGTTTCGTTTGAAATAGAAATCATGTGATTTCTCGAAAACCGGAAGTGCTACGTTACTCACATCCGGTTTGTAGTCGTATCAGACTATTCTTAACTTATAACTTAAACATTCTCTATATCTATCTCTTACGGTTTGGCCACTGAAACGGCCACGGACGGACGGACGGACTTGTCTATTAGATAAAAGAATCAGATAATGACAATTGTAAATCCAATAATAGAGGTTTAGGATGGTGATGATGTCTCCTATTATATGTGAATAGCATTTGCTTTATAATATGTTTGTTACAACAAGTACACAGGCCTCAGTAATTGACCTAAACTAGAGTTATTTATCATACACTCCATACCAGAATATTGTGATTATAGATGCTACTCTGCTGTAGCTCAGAATCAAAAACCAATACTGATAATTTTTGCCTGAAATTTATCATTTATATTACTTTATCTTAGTATTATTTAAAAAAAACTGCTGTACATTATTTCATACTATTGCTGCAGTGAAAAAAGTTGCTATAGCTCATGACTTAGGAGTATTGTGTCATGTAGTTTCAAACCACTGCGGTAAGTTTGCATTTTTAACAAGACAAAAAGTTCATAAAATAAAAAATAAACTATTTCAACACATAAATGGTAGTAGCAACTCACTTGAGACCTTGAAAGCAGGAAATTTCACTAGCCAATCTTTACTGTGTCTTGCTTTATTGTTATCTTGAATGGCTCTGACCTTGGCTATATGCAATCAAATTTATTTTACTGAAATCATGATTATATAAACTCAGCTGAAGTTTAAAAAATCTAAATATTGTACATTATCAAACCACTTACCAAATATCAGTTCAATAACAGCTTGTCGTAGTTATGTTTAAAGATTGAACTGTTATTTTTTTCTGTGAAATAAATAAATATTTTTAGATGCAATGAAATCTTCATTAGAATTGCAGATAATAATTACAAGGGGCAGCACATTGCCGCACCTCACCTGATGTTAAGTTTTATTGGCTCTAGCCATTCCCACCTTGCCGGCGTGTACCTAAGACCGTTTCCCATGCAGCCATAGGGGCCATGGGGACCCTATTTACCAACAGAAACATAACACCATTAAATATTTCCAACACTCACACCAATTAGCCTAGCCCCAAAGTAAGTACTGAAGGCTTGTGTTGTGAGAAAAAATAGATAGTGATATTTTGCTTTCCTTCTTTTTTCTTCTTGTGAGGTGGAGGTTGCTTCCCCAGGCGGGCGCTCTAATTCTAGCGGAAAATCCCCTATGCCTTACTGTTCTCTAACACATATTAACCCGCAACTTGTTCTTACTATAGTTTTCAGATAAAGACTTGGAATGAGCTAACGCCAAATGTGGCGTCATTAAAGTGTTATTTATTTATACACAGTTTATATTTGTCCATGTTTTGAAACTATGAATGGAGGTGAAAGGAAAAACAACATGTATAGTATATAGATGTTTACAGATCCAAATATATTGTTTTGCCTTTATCTCTTAACCAGTGACACAGCATTGTGTTGTTTGTGTGAATCAAACACTAAGCGCTTGCGCACACTGCTGAGGCAAAATAGCTGCAACTTTGTAATGTATGATATGCCATAGAAGCGCTCGCACTGCGGCAAAAAAAACGCAGGAAATCTTCAAACAAGAAACTTGCCGTTTTGCAACAAACGCGTGAGGCAGGCGGTT